TTGCCTTCCTGTAAACTAGGTTCCAATGATGAGTTTTTGTATCGATCCTGTATTATAAAGAATTCTTCTAAAGTGTAATTTTTCTCTCTGGGAGTGACGGAAATTATTTTAACTTTTTCACCTATGGTTTAAGAGGTGAGTAAATGGCTTCGGCATATGTTCTGTTCTATGTATCTCGCACTCGAAAGCATACAGTATAAATGACAGAAGTGTCCAGGCACGACAGACGGCCTGAAAAACTAATGATTATAATGCTCTTTTATTAATCCGGATACTCTTAAAGCCAAGCACATTGTTATCTGCATTTTCAGTTCTTTTCACATGTTTTCACATGTTTTCGCGTGTTCTCTTCACGCATTGTTTATGGAGAAAAGCTCGAAAAATAAACTGGCAGTTAACAAGGAATTTAAAATCAGCTGTGGGAGTACCGTGAGTTTCAAAGTCGTAAGCTGCTTTAACTTGTCGGAAATGTGTATGCAAATGGAGACTCCTTCTCTTATTTTATTTCTATGGTTACGCCTACATATTTTTCTTTTGCTATCCCGCCTTAATAAACATCCAAAGTTAAGGCCTGTTTACATTTTTTTATGTAGAACTTACTTATCTAAAACTCCAGGTTATCTAATCTTGCTGCAAGGCATTTATTAGAAGTGCAACAGATCATCAAACAAGAATTAAGCTAGACTTCGACTGTTTTTATGACATATAGCGGGTCAGTATAGTTAGGCACATTCACGTTTGAGTAAAGATCGATTCAAAACCGACGAGTGTGAATGTGTCCTAGGCCACAATTAAATGTCTTTTGTCATGCTTACGTGACAGGGCCTTTCTAAACGTTCAGGCGATGGGGTAAAAACAACATTCTTGTTATCGTTAATATCGAGGGGTAGAGATAGAAGCAGTTTTGTGGTTATGTGAGCGTTGATTTGAAGCAGTGCCAACAGCCACAGTTTCCGCTGTGTCACAGAGAATGTCGTGTGTTCCAAAGAGTGTCACCGGTAGACTGCCAAAATAGCTTGAAACATGAAAAAAACAGCGCTGTATATTTGGAAACTTAGGCATTAAATGTCCTGGATGTAACCAATGACGCTAAAACCATTGACTAGAATGTGTACAACAAATATTGCACCTATATGCTTGTTTGCTTTTTAATTCCAACATTACATTTTTTGTTGTCACTACGCTCGAGAAAAATATGCATGTAAGAAGGACCAGTCCCTTTACACCCAGACGTAAATATAATTCAATAAACAAACAGGAATTGAAAAGGTTTCGGGCACACATTGCAAATATTTCAGCTCATCTTCTTTCATTTCCTCTCCCGTGCCCCAACTGTTCCCATTTGTGGGTTAGTGAAAGGCTTGTGGTTTTAAGCTCAAATTGTATTTTGAAGTTTCCTTGATCGAATAAAAGTCACCTCTGTTTCTGCACGTTTCAGCGCATGCAGTATTCAAAACTAAATTGCTCGGAGGACTGAAAATATTGTGTTGGTGGTTTATGAGTTGAAAAAAAAAGTTAATATTTTCAATAGTGTCACCAAAGACGTTATTCTTGTCCTTTCGTGCTAGATCCGTTGCTGTGCATCTATATGAAAAAATGAATTGCGCCATTGCGTCTGGTGCCTCATGGTCCAATCCACATATACAGACTTGACATTTAATATGGAATATTTTTTTCGAAATGATGTTTTATCATTTTTTTCCTATTTTGCTGACTGATAAATGAAGATAAGGATTAAAATCGTGTTTTAATAACTTTAAATTATCTCTTTGATGTCATTGTGACATCAGTTCATTAATGGAATTCGCCAGAGAAGCAAACAAAAACACATTGCCTATTCTATATCATACGACTCCCATTAAAAGAGATATTTTGGATCTCCATATTTTCCAAATTATCGTCTGTAAAAGGGTAATACGCTCCACAAAGGACCCTCATGTCAGTTTTTAGGCACAGTAATAGTCGTTGTTACGCCTGACCTCTTCGTGGCTGTTGCCAGCGCTCTCAAGCGGCAAGGCATTTCTTGGGGGTAGTTTTTAGAGTTCAATCTGGAATAGCATTCCAGGCATCGGTCTAAAATTGTCCAATCTGGTCCAGTTTTGTTGTAGGACATGTAGGCAGTTGATTGGCGAGTAATGGTCTAGCGAAATATTGTCTATGTGGTTCAAATGTGGCGATTTTGATGACCAGGGTTGCTGCTCATTCCCTTGGTTCTGTACGTTATCTGCTATTAAAAGTGCTCTGTGTGAACCTGCAACCTCATCGTGCAACCTAGAATTGTTCCTAAGGTGCCCCCTATCAAATGATAGTCAAGTGGTTCCGAGATTATTCGTTTATTTGATCTGGTTCAGGTTTTCGTCGATGACTAAAATTGGTGTTTTGGCACCAATGTGGAATCTACTCCAAATACTGACGCTGTCAATCACCCTTGTCACTTTAGACCCGGCATATGCTTCGTCGTAGGCCTCTTCTGGATATCTGTAAACTCTGTTTTGACTAATTGGGCGGTACAGGTGAAATCTGACCTCAATAAAGAAAGCCACGCAGTTTCAGTGTTCTACCCAGAATCGTTCCTGGCCCCCAATTCATTAGATAAACAGACGACGATGTTTTGCTGTATACAGTGGGTACCTCGGAGGTCATTTGGTGTTCTTACCTGCGAAAACCAGTTTGGTGTTCGCTAAGGGCTTTGAAAAACGCATTTTAGTGGCAATTTACCCCTCATTCTGAACGGACTAAGTGTTTTTTGTTTAGTTGCAGCAGCGTATCCCGAAAGACAGTGGGTCCTGTACCCTGTAGGTAAAATTTTGATACATTGGGGGTGACATCTGTGTAGGTACATCAGTCTGGGTATTACTCTATAAAACTGTGGGGACCGTTCCGTTTGGCGCTATGATCTATCTGGTTATGTCTGTCTTTTTCGCGCCATTCTGCCTTAGATTAACAAATTTGTAATGCACTACTTGACTCATCTTACGCACTGCAAAACTGACCGCTTGCATGCAAAATTTCAAATTCTTCTATGCAGTAGTTGCCGAAATATGGATACTTTTTTGACAGAACCAAGCTTTGCCTAAGCCAAGCTTTGATCAGCCCAAAGGAACACTACCCAATTAAATCACTGCAAATTACATAATGTAGCAGCGCAACAGGCATGAAAGTCAGTTAATTGGTAGTGACACACCTGACTGCACACTTTTACATTCACAAATCTTATATGAGATCGGATTTTTTTAAAAGAAAGAACGTATTTTACCTGGGTATACCTTCGAAACTGAAATATTCCATATTAAATGTCAAGTCTGTATATCGAGTTGATTAGAAATATATATCAGAGAACGGGGAATTAATGTGTGCCTTTCCATTTACACTAAAGATACATGTAATACATGTATAAAAAAAATCCCGACCGTGATAGACAATATTGGTATATAGAAAATGGAAATTTTGAAGAAGTTAAGTGTCGTTTGTAGCGCGACCAAGTAGGTCATAAGTCGCAGAATCAATCTTCTTCTTCGTGTCACTTTTGCAGAGTGGAATTTCCAATACGGGTTTTCTTATGTCTGGACCTTATACTTATTTCAAATGGGATTTTACCTGTATATCCTTTAATTCGCTTAAAATTTACGGGAAAGTAATAAACGCATGTCAAATAATCTTTTCCAGAAGACACGCATATTGATTTTTGATGCTGTCATTGTCAAATCACCGGTGATCTGTTCTCTATAACGCGACCTTTTCCCCCGTTCTGACTCCGTCAGTGTGTATGTACGTTTTCCTGTGTGTGCGTTTGGATGTGTGGAAAAAGCCATCCGAGATTTCACTCCGTACCGAAATTAACATAGCATCCCAAACCAAGATCGCCCATTTTAATTTCTTAAAAAGATCTCTTGAGGTAACCCTCCTGACAGCTGATGCCATTATGTGAGAGTCAATTAATACACTGTCACCGAGCGATTGATGCCAGAACAATAGGGTGGCAATGTGTTATTTGACATACATGCTTAGAAAAAGCACTCATATTTTACCGAAAAACAACCCCCAAAACCTCGAAGTATGTTTGACTGATATTGGTCGGCGACCTGTTAGCGATCTCCCATTCTACATTTTTACTTCAGTATATGTCTCGCCAGTATTGATTACACTGTATCTCCTGCGACTTCTTACTTTCATTACTTTGGTTACATTTTTCTGCACCTACTGTACGCGGTCATGCTTTTGAGTATAGATAATCTGATATGTTTTTCTCCATGGCATGTCGATTAACCAATTAATGTACTAAAATAGCAATCAATTCCAACCTGGACTCACATAATTAGAGATAAATTTAGCTGTTTTGGGAATTTTTTTTTCAAATGTGAGAAAATCTGTCTGAACTACTCAACGACAATATCAGTCTAATTGGAAGCTATTTACTTCGTTTAACTATTCTTCGTAGAATCAGTCATTGGAAATTAAATGCCCCTTCCTACTTATTTCAGCAGAAGAATCCTAGCCGAAGCTTACATTTCAGCAAGATAGGCAAATTAAATCTGTGGAGCTGATACCAAATTGGCAGTTTTAGGTGGCTTTAAAAGAACCTTCATCGCTATAAGGGGCTATTTGATAGGTAGGCGTATAGTACCTGGGCTGTAAACTGCCTAAGAAATCGATCACTTCCCGACAGCCATAATACACGTGGGCTAGCTGCTTGCAAGCAAGAGTAATTGCCTGGGGACGTGCAATAAAATAACTTGTAATTCCTACTGACTGAATTAAAACGATGTGGATATGGATGAAAATGTATTAGATCAGATAATTAGTATGAAAAAAGATCTAGAATTTATGACAAAGTTTCTCTAAAGAGTTTTATAAAGAGTCAAACCTGTCAATGCACCATATTAATTTTGCTTATTTCATAATGGCAATTAAAAAAAAGGAAAAAAGTACTTTTTTTATAAATAACAACTGTTTACTGAACAAATACTGAAATACATGATCACAATAGAATTGATGTAAAAATAATATTCATTAGTATATGTATACGAGATGACATGTCCATATATCACGCAATTCAGTCGAAAATCTTCGACTTTTCTATAGCACCATGTAATAAAAAACACTGTTTTTTTCTTACGTAAGGTATACAGTTAAACGTGTTCTAGTAAACCCGATGCTCACTAATTGAATTTTGTTGATTATCCAAGTGTTAACTGTCTTTGAGGACGGCAAATTTTCACAAGAGCATCACGTATTATGAAAGAGAATGATCTACAGATATCCACGATATTATCACATAAATAGTCACAGCGATTTAGCTTGCAATCGCCTTCTTTTCTTTCATCGCAACTGGTGCCATTCAAAGAGTTGTCTCACTGAATAATTCGCTTTAGCTTTTCATGAGTTTACAATGGGCCATGTAATTTATACATTGACAGATCATTTCATTGATCCTTTTATTCTTCATGTCTGTTATCGAACATTTGTAGAGAAATGGCTTGTTTCAAAAATTCAGTAAGCCACGTAATGGTTTAAAAGTACCCCTGATTAAATAGTTATTGAGCTGATTGTTTTTGTCATCGCTCTGTACTTTTACCGCACCTTGGGTTGCTACTGCGGTGCTCGTTCGCTCATTAAGATATTTTAGCGCCAATGTCACAGTGTTCATATCGTCCTTGTTTGTTGTGTTCCTCGTCGTTTTTGTTAACTGTCTTTGCGTTTAACAACATGTCCAAGTGGTACTTTCCTTTTCCTTCTTAAAGTTAGTCAGGGTGTAAATCTGGTATCTATATCCGGCAATGGGGACGATCGGGACCATACAGAACGCCGCCGCATGGTGGTCCCGACATGGGTGAAAAATCGATTAGCTTTGTATTTCACTTTCCCCAAAAGTCTCCGTAAGGCCTTGCGAAAGTTTTGACCGGAAAGACTGTAGAGAGCGAAGTTGATTGCAAAGTTGGTGTAATATAATAGCTGAAAGATCTGCTGCAGGGCCCATTCTAAGGGCGAAACGCTGTACCCTTCGCGCTTGCTCGTAACGACCAGATGGTACACCCTCATGGAATGGCTGGGCAAATTGAGCACAAGGAACACAGTGGAGACCAATAGGAGCATTTTCGTGATTTTTACCTGTGTTCTTCGGAGTCTCTTCCCCCCGTGTGTCAACAGCCCCGTGTCGACTGTTTGAACGCCGTTATGAAATCTCATGAGCACCACAGTGAGTTTATCCGTTGATGAGGCGGTGTGCATCACCTGGCGATTGCTGTAAAAGTAGGCAACTTTGGTGGCGATTCGGATGTTCATGAAAATGAGAAGGGCAGTCGGAAGGATGAGTGTCACCACCGTGTCTATGTAAGTAAATCCCATGATGAGCTCCATGTGTTCTTCTATGAGGGGGGCGCAGTATCCGTCGCGAATGCCGTTGGTGAAAAGGGAAACGCTGTTGAATACACACGCGAACACTGCTAGAGAAATCACGACACATTTTGCGCGTTTTGATGTGCAGAATTCCGGCCTTTTCAGCGGATAGCATACGGCCACGTAACGTTCGACAGTAAAACCAACAACATAGGCAACGGAGAGGAACCCAACAACGTTTGTAAAATAAACCTGTAACTGGCATAAGCCGTCGATGCCTTGAGGCGTCTCCGCGCTTAGTGACTGCAACCAGGGACCCACCAAAAGCATGGTAAGAAATATTTGGTCAGTTAGTGCCAACGCTGCTAGGTAGGTGCTAGACGACAAACGATGCAAGTAGGTGTAGTTAAAAACCAAAAACGACAGGACGTTTCCGACAAGTCCGAAGAACACTATGATCGGCGTGGTGTACAGGTTCAGATATCCAACGATGTTAATATATGCAGGTATGACATACGGCGCACCAGTGGAGACACTGGAACCATTAGTGTCCGAGTGATTAGTGCCATTTAGTTCAAAAATCTCGACTGTATCCATGTGGGACGCCATACAACCCACATTAAGGTAAATATCCGATAAAAGGGGCTCACTTATAGTCCGTTGCGTTGCCGCTTCTGCACGTCCAATTTTCTTGCCAGTCTCGAAATCATACTTGTGGCAAGTGAAATTAATAATCGGAAGAGTGTGGCCAATAGAAATGTTCAATTATGACAGTACCATCGAAAAATATTTACATCATGTAATTTACACACTAGATCTGTGAATGGAAACTGATGAGGCCCTTCGCGTGACTACCACAGTTCATGCTCCGTTGGTGATATGTAAGATATCTTGATGTGGCAACTGCATCGCTAACGGCTGTAGTTCCGAATATGTCGAGCGAAAAGCAACTGCTGTTTGTGTTGTTTGAGATTGTTATTCGTCGTTGGAATTTTAACAAATCAGATGGTCGGAAAGTCTTTTGGTCAAACACTGAGATCTAGTTCCATACTAAGAACCAATCTAGGAGTCAGAACAGTCTTCGAAAATATGTTGTCACACCATATGTGGGTTTTCGTGCTGTGCTGAAGAGATTATGATATGGCTTTCAGTCCCTTGAGTTCTCTACGAAAGCAGTGTCTGCTATCTTCGTACGCTGAAGTCTGTACAAATTTCATTTAGCGCTATCAGTTCGTTAATTTTGAACTTCATGCCAAGACACGTTCAAATGCTATTGACATTTCAGTTGTTATTGCCTTCTCCTATTTCTAATATCTCAGTAACGCACTAGTGTATCCATGCACTGTCCCCACTTTTTCTTTCATCTTCTTAATTGCCCTGAATGTCTCGACCGCGTATCTCTGTTATTTGCAGTTAAAAACAAAATTAAACACTGCAGGTCTTGTGTGTCGGACACCGTAACTCACCTATGTCCAGAGAGCTTTCTGTTTGTCTTTTATATCACGTTTGATAATCAGCGTACGGGAAGTCTCCCCGCAAAACCAATGTGGTGTGCTATGCAGTCTGATCCGTGTGTGCCAGAAATTGCTTTTACTCCAGAATGTATACTGCTGCTGTTGCGTCTCCAACCACGTGACTGGGTGTGACGGTTGTACGTTTTCCTTGAGAGCCAAAAGCAATAACGCAACGACCGTGGCCATGCTAAACAATCTAAGGCAGCTAGCGTTTGCGTCTATACGTATCAGAACCTGATTGCACATTGCTTACACCAATCACAGTGAAAAGAGTGTTGTTTTTTTCCTTTTCGGGGAACTTAATTGTGTTCTGAGCAGGTATAGTAGACCTTTGTCAATTGTCAAAGGAGGATGGCTTGAGGATACTTCGCCAGGCATATTTAAAAATGATGTGCAATATGTTGCATTTGAAATATTAAGTTGAACTCAGTGTGGGAGATGTTTCATTGTTACATTTCCGGCTCATTGCCATTTGGTTATCAAAAGTGTGAAAACCTAGTGCACAGTTTTACAGTTATAAATGCACCATTTGCCATTACCGTCAGCAGGGCCACGAAAGAAATTGATTACAAGGATATTGTTACCAGCTTTCAAAACAATTTCCAGAGCAGCAATTGGTTTGCATTAAAATTTTAAAATATTGAAAAATATATATTTCATTTCCCTCGAAAAGGATGTACCTTACAGTAACGTTAGAAGTTGTAATAGTACATGTACCTATTAAAAAAGTACATGTTACCATACAGTTACTGTGCTGAATTGGTTTACCCAGTTGACACTGAGCTGCAACCCCACAAGGTGAGATAAAAGTTTCCTGAGACTTATCTGACTCACTTAGTAAGTTGTGTCTCAAAAATTCTTAAAAGCTGCAAATCTCGATTTTTTTTAAAGTTTTATCAGATTGGTAGATAATAGCAATAAAAAAACTCTTTAGTCACGAACCAATTACGCAATTATATTTTCATTCACACATAGATGGCGTTCTGTCACTCGAAGACTGACGAAGATGACCGATGGTCCATCGAAATATTTCGCATGAGTAATGAATTTTTTTTATTAATTTGTGACAAAAGAGTATTTTCATACCCGCACACTACTCTTTTTGCTGACCATTAACTAAAGCACTTGAGCAAATTTTCATCTTGAAATTTTAATGATAGTGGCACAGACCAATTTTGTATGTTAAGTGTACATATCGTTTTTTAGACTAAATTTGCAAAGCCAACTTTGCTCAATAGGGTATCTGCAGTCTAACCTAGTCCAACAACTTTTTTTTGTGAAATTGGCACTTCGTTTGTTATCAGACTTCCGTGCTCTGTAGGTAAGCCTGTTGATTGAAGAAACAGCAATTAGAGACCTGTCGTTCACAGTATGCGCGAGGCCTAAGTGGCAAAACCATTTGCAAACTTCCGTAAGCCTTCTTCTTCGCATTCGACACTATGATTGAGCATCGAAGCGATTTTTTGTCATTACGTCGTAATGAAAGCAATCTGAGAGCAGCTAGGCTGATTGCTGAAATATTGACGTAGGCCAATGGGGAAAGATGAAAGTGCTGGTAATTGTAGACGGGAGTCTCATTTAACAGAGAGGGGTCATTCAAACGCCTCCAGCTCAAAAGTGCAGCATTAAGTGAGAATCTAATTGGAAAAAGAAGGCCGTTGTGCCTTAAGAAACGCACGTTACTATCGCGGAAGTAGTATAGAAATTGCATTCGGTTTCCTCATCGGCACACAATACTAGAAACGATATTATTTTCTATTATTGATTATTTGTGGGGGCAAACATGAGTAGTTTGCCTGACGTTTCTAGGTATCCTGTTGTAATTGAACGTAGATGACAACAGTGATTTAGCATCAGAAACTCGCCGACGACTTTTCTAGCTATCCCCTGGTTTGAACCCACAAATTTATTTGCTTGTTATTTTGTTCATTCGCTTTTCTTTGCTTTTGAGATAAAGTTAAACGACGATCAGCCCCCTTGCTGCCCCTCTGCAACAATCCTGGCCTCGTAAACGGTTGACTTGAGTATTTTCTTTTATCTGAAAATACTCAGCTCAATACACATCTGCAGCTGAATCTGTAAGCCATGTGCATAAAGTGAACAGTTCCTTTCGGATATTCGGCACGATTGTTCTGAACTCCTGTTTTAATAAGACAACTCACAAATACTTCTGACAAGTTTCTTGTCAATAATTACTAAATGAAACTTGAAATAAAATAGAATAGGAATATTCTTATATAAATATTCTTAATACAATGTTAAAGGCGAAATTGTACTTAGGAAAAATAAAAGTCATCATTCGTTCCAAGCAAGCATAACGTGTATATAAATAATCTTATAATAATTATCAGGACGTTCTGATTGAGCCACCTACTGCAAAACAAACCTGACAGAGCGTCTATGCTCAAAATCACACCTTGGTCACATAAAGCCTTTTTCAAGCTAAGTTTAAAACTGAACAGTTCAAAATTCGTCGTCTTGTTAAACAATGGTTGGCATTTCTGCCACATTATATTGAATGAATGTGGAATGTGGCCTAATTGATAAATTGATTGTCAGATTTTAAATCGTTTCCAGTGTTCGTATATCTGGTGAGGTATCGATCGGATATTGTCAACTGAGGAAATGTATTACAAAAGCATTGCAAATGCCATGGACTTTAACGTATATGTCAAGATGTGCAAACACCCTGAGAAAGGATTAGGGTAGTATCCACCTTATCAATTTCTTTATAAAGTTTTGCTTATTCGGACTTACCCCGTGGGTTTAGTAAAATAGCGATACAAACCGTTTGCAATTTCTATTACTACACGACTGGAAGTTGTTTGATTTTGAAGTTAATTCTATAACATTGATTTTAGATTCAGTTACTATGTTTTGCAAAGGGCCGCACAAAAAAACTCAGGCCCTTCACTTGCAACTGTTTTACCTGAACGATTCTGTCTCCTCATACCAAAATGCAGACAAAAACATATCTATATATATTGTTTATATGTTATATATGTTTTTTAAAAATATTTTTACGATTTTGAAACAGTTCTATACATTGCGACATATGTACACAAGTACAATTTTATTACCGAAGAAACGGGAATGGTTTCACTTATCGATTTCCAGCTCTTCGTGATTGTGATTTTTACAGCGTACGGTATGTGACGTGCTCATAGTTCTGATGAAACGTCCATTGGCTCTTTCTTCCGTCTCTACTGGTAGGTGTGTGTGTGTGTGTGTGTGTGTGTGTGCGCGCGAGCGCGCGAGTGTGTCGGAGAGAGAGAGAGAGAGATTGTTTATAGTTATGAACTTCTGATGAAGTTGAGCTGTAAAACCTGTAAGATGTTTACACTTGCCTCTTTTACATACCGAAATCATTTATCATTTCAAAGCGATCAAGCTAGCCCTGATTTGGAAATAGCTAATTGAAAAGTCCAACATGACCGTCTTGAGACACAATAAATTGATAACTAAGTTTAAAAATAAATAAATAAATAAATAAGTGGATTAATTAATAAATGAGATGAAAATACTGAATATGTTTGACTATATAAACCTCGGTATAAACGGTAACATCTACTTGTTAGAGGGGTTGGATATAACCCACTAGAGTTTGAACCAAGGTACTTTTGCTATGAATGCATTCCAAAAGCTGCCAAAAATGAGAGTTGTCGTCCTAAGAAACATAAAATCAGACTTTCATTGGCCAGGGACCCAAAACGTGACAGAGCAACAATATCCCCCATCAGCTTTGCTAACCTCCAAATGCATCCGGTACTAAACGTGGAAGAAAGATGACTGAATACAGGGTGTTTCAAAATGTACCTCTTATGAAACTTTTAAAAAGTATGAAATCCAGGTATTTACCAAACTTAAACTTCCTCGAAATGAAGAGCGGACCTGAAAATTAATTTAACAAGCAGTTTTGCTCTTCTTTGGCTTCTCCAATTGACTCTTAAAGGTAATTGAAGCAAAGACGAACAAAACTAGGGACAGAGATTCTTATCACAACAACTTTCGGACCTCCCTTAGATACCGATGTAGCTTAAGTTTGTTGATTGGCTGAGTTTCCCGGTGTGCTTTAAAATTGCAAAATGGGTTCCTTTAATTTTTGAACACCCTGTATATCGTGATCATTAATGAGTGAATATTGATGTGGTGTTGTAGTCTACAGGATACGGCTCGTTATCACCCTGTTAGGAGTAATTGCTTGTGTGAATTCAATCAAGCTTTAGCAATAAAAACGGAAAGAGGGTTTGGCAAATTAATGTGTCTCGCACAATTTTAGAAAGATTCTGAGAACAATTTGGGATCTTTTAAAATATTTTTATTATGTTTTCACAGGTAACCAAAGTGTTATATAGGCACTAGGGGATTTTCAAAGAAGCGTTTTGAACCTAGAATATCAGATCATTGCAAATACAAAGCAAGCATTGGTATAAACCTTGTCTACATTGATAGTTAAAGTTTTATTTTGGAAGTGTGCGGATGCACAAAATATCTTTGTAGATCAATCAAACGCGAAAATGAACTCGTGCAAAATGACGTCAACCTCTAGATTTTGCCATTACAAAAATTCCCCGAACCCAAAACTCCTTCGTGAGAAAATCTAGGAAATTTACCATCCATTCTCTCCTGCGTGATAGATTGATGACAAAATACCCCATAGTTGTTTTACCAGTGCACTTGCCTGGTACTTTTAACTAAATCCCATCGGATCATAGAAAACTAATTTTTCCATTCAAATGTCAAGAAAGTAGCGACAGTCATTCAAACTACCAACATTCCTGTGGGGCTTTGATAAAAGTGCATCTGCAATGGCATCCCAACAAAAGCCAGAGTGACGGTACACGGGATTCCATATACTAAGTACAGGTTAATTTTAATTGGAGAATTGGGTCAGGTATATCGGACGAATGAAATCCGTACAAAGTAATGGGGAACGTACTACGGTTCCTAGCGGACTACCATTCCTGTCACACCGGCCATGTATTTGTGTAGCGTAACACCTCACTTTGTATGGTGAATTGAGAATGTTCATCAAGGGGCGTCTAG